GCCTTTTCCATCTTTCTCTCTACAAAGAAAGATTCTGTGCAATGTAATGTGAAAGTTAAGAACAGAGACTTTAAAGTCACATAACAGCCTGGGAAACTATAACCCTGCCATTGTGACCTAGGGAAACATTCTCAGTACCTCAAAGCCTCTGTCTACAATGTGATAGTCAGAAACAGCAATTATACTTTAAACAGAGCTCTGAACATTAAATGCATGAAAAGCTGCTAATAACAAAACCTTACTAGTTATAATTATAAAATCTTTCAAGACACATCCTCCGATAGTAGAGCTAGTCATTCCCTTTTCATATCCCCCCACAGGATCTTCTATTTCTACATCAACAAAAACATGAGACTACCTATTTTCTAATTTAAATATTTTATTTTATATGCATGAGTATTTTGCCTGTTTGTGTGTATATGTGCGCATGCAAGCAACCACAAGTGTGTCTGGTGCCTGCAGAGTCAGAAGAGGGCATCAGATCCCCTGGAACTGGAGCTGTTGTGAGCCACCATGTGGGTCCTGGGACTAGAACCTGTGTCCCCTATAAGAGCAACAAGTGCTCTAAATCACTGAGCCATCTCTCTAGATAGACACCCATTTTTACAACATTTTATAGAATTCATGGAACAGTACTTGTATAAAATTCCACTCAAAGGGGCTCAGTGGTTAAAAGCACTTACTGCTCTTCCAGAGGATGTGGGTTCAGATCCTAGCACCCACATGGTGACTCACAACTCTCTGTAACTCCAATTTCAAGAGACCTGATGCTCTCTTCTGGCCTCTAAGGGCACTATATACATGTGGTGCAAAACACTCATACACATAAAATTAAAAAATACATCTTTAAGTTAAGTGATGGCACAAACCTTATTCCCAGCACCTGGGAGGAGGCAGATGGATCTCAATGGTTTGAGAACAGCCTGATCTACAGAGCAAGTTCCAGGCCAGCAATACAGTGAGACTCTGTCTCAAAAACAAAGTTCACTCAAATTTCCTAGGGAGCACACAATTTGAAAATATTCTGAGTTTTTCAGAAAATCATTAAGACTGAATCTACAAGACACAAGAGTTTCAAACAGCAGTAACTACCCTGGGTCATCATTCACACTTAAGAGTGGGCCATTGAAGGCTCAATGACCTTCATCCAGGACTCTCCAGACTCCTTCCTCTTAATCAGGTAAAAAGTAAACCTCAGGGTGGAGATGGAAACTCAGGCTATTTTCACAGAAACCTGTGCCCACTCCATGGTGTGGTCAGACCAATCTGGTCACCACTAAGTAAATCCCACTGACTAGTTGATAACTGCTGCTACTAATATGCACCTCTCAACTCACAAACTTAAAGAAAAGGAAGGTTTGGGGCCTACACTGAATGGGGAGAGGCACATAAGCATTAATGACACTAGATACTATTTCCTATCATGTTTACAGAGATCATTACTAATATGGAAAGGTCCTGACAGTCAGAAAAAAGAGTAGAAACAAAGCCAAACAAGGTCTTGTAGAAGGCACTAAGCTTTGCTGACTTCCTCCCACCGAAAGCAGTGGGAATCAAATTTAAAACCTCTGGAAAAGATCCCCAGGGCAAAAAGAAAAATGAAACTTCTAAATTCACCAAGAAGCCATCATCTATAATACCTGAACCAAGATTACTTTCCTGTCCATCTCAAAGATGATTAACACAGAGATCCTATTCAAGACCATCACAAATTCAGGCCCTCCTACCCCCATACCCAGTGGGGCAGTTTTCTTTCTAGAGGATGCAAGATATCCTGCCTTAAGATGAATTTGTGGAAGCTTAAATCTGGGTGAATGCATTCCAGATCAGTGGTGCCCTCTTCTATCCCATCCTTAATCAAAGGTCATACCATGGGAATAACATTTAGAAAATAAAGGGGCTCCTGTCACTCTTCCCCAAGCTTATAAGAATATGACAGTGAGGTATTACATCATCCCTGCCTCTTGCTGGGAGCTCAGCTTCTGTAGCTGTGATGTCAGCCAGGGAAAAGCTCACCATTTTCCCACCACTAGTTCCAGAGCCCTGGAAATAACATGGGCTTAAACTAAATCACCCTTGATCACGCCCCAGAGAAATAGACTTCATATATAACCAGATTTGAGGAAATTGTGGCAGAAGGCACTTGGGAAGAGATTCCAGACACAAGCTACACTAGAGGCCAGTTAGTTTGCTGGACAGTATTAGGGACTGCAGCTAGGAAGAGGGTCTAGAGAGATGGTTCTGCAGATAAGAGAACAGGCTGCTCTACCAAAGGACCTGGGTTTGACTGGCTCAAAACTCCAATTCCCAGGGATCCGATGCACTCTTCAGGCTCAGCAGGTACCAGGAATGCATCTGGTGCACAGGCACACATGCATGCAAAACACACATAAATAATAAAAAGAGACAATTAGGAGTAGTCACTCTGGAAGCACATTGTTCTTAGAAACTATTCATTTCCAAATTGCAAACAGCCAGAACTTCGTGGGATTATTTTATAAAGCAATGTATGTCACAATGCATTATTCAAAAACAGTAATAATCAAGGGGCAGCCAAACCTGCTCCTAGGTGTTCCTTGAGGACTTTAAACACACTATTACTAGAGTTTACTTGCAGGAATGTTCTTCCCCTAGAGACACATGCCTACTTGGCTATTTCCTTGGCCTCCTTCCCCAACCATTCCCTTTAAATATAACCCCTTTGTAATAAGGCCTACATGAACCTACTCAACATGGAAGACCACCATCTTTGTACCTTACATTGCTTTAATTTTGCTCTAACAAAATATAAGTTTAATGTCACTTTCTACTGAAAAATAACCCAGTAATGGGATTTTAACTTTTAGTCATGTGCATGTCCAAAGCACCTTTAAAAAAAGCATGATACGCCCGGGCATTGGTGGCACACGCCTTTAATCCTAGCACTGGGGAGGCAGAGGCAGGCGGATCTCTGTGAGTTCGAGGCCAGCCTGGTCTCCAGAGTGAGTGCCAGGATAGGCTCCAAAGCTACACAGAGAAACCCTGTCTCGAGAGGAGAAAAACAAAAAAAGCATGCCACACAGCAAGTGCTCAATAAATTAAGTTCAATGTATACATGAATGATGTGAATGTAAGAACTGAAAAATAACTAATGACAATTTTTATTGTCATTACAATTTTAATAATAAGTCAATACAATTTTAAGACATATCTAGTACTTAAAATTAGACAACTTTCTATGCTCATATAATAAAAATGTCAGTCATAAAATTCTTAGAAAACCCATCCACCTTTATCATTCCTATTTGTTTCAATGTACCTCTCCCAAAGACTTATGCTAATTTATTGGAAAATTACAATATTATGTTGTTAATACTAAGAGACACTATATGACCAGGAAGGTATATTATGTAGCTTCAAAAATATTTAGGACCAATGTTGAAATTTATACAAAATTAACCACTATTTGGTTACTAAACTAAAACAGGTTTTAAAACTACATTTGCTGTAAGTATGGTTGGTTGTACATGTCTGTAATCCCAGGTACATCAGAGGTTGCTAAAGTATAACAATCAAAAGTTCAAGACCAGCTTGGGTACATAGAGTTCAAAGCTCTAGCCTGGACAATTTATAAGATTCTGCCTTAAAAAGAAAACTAGGGCTGGTGTGAGATGGCTCCATGGGTAAAGGCATTCATTTGACACTAAAGCTGATAAACTAAATTCAATCCTCAGATCCTACTTGGTGAAAGGAGAGAACTAATTCCTGCAAGTTGCCCCCAACCCCCACCTCTAAATAAATATAATGAAAAATAAAAAGGTAGCTCAGTGGTAGAGTGTTTACTTTCCTAACAGATTCAAAGCCGTGGGTTTAATCCCAAGCAACGCAGTAACAAACAAAACAAACACAGCAAAACAGTACATTTGAGTTATAATCCTAGACCTTGCCACAGATTGTTGTGGAATATTAGTTTAATGATGCAAAGATGTGTTGCATTCTTTTATACCGTATTTATTTAACTCTGTGAAGCTGTGTCATTCAGCCTGCCTAAAACATCAGATTGATCTAATAAAGAACTGATTGGCCAATAGGTAGGCAGAGAGGGACAGGAGAGGCTGCCATGCAGAGAATAAATGAAGGAAAAAAAGAGAAAAAACAGACAGACAAACAAAAAAACGAGAAAAAGGAAAAGAGGAGGATGCTAGGGGCCAGCCACCCAGCAACATAGTCAGTCATGAAGTAAGAAGGAAAAGATGTACAAACAGAAAAAGATAAAAGTCCAGAGGCAAAAAGTAGACGGGGATAATTTAAGTTAAGAAAAGGTGCATAGGCTGGGCAGTGGTGGCTCATGCCTTTAATCCCAGCAATCAGGAGGCAGAGGCAGGTGGATCTGGATCTCTGTGAGTTCGAGACCAGCCTGGTCTACAAGAGCTAGCTCCAAGACAGTCTCCAAAGCCCCAGAGAAACCTTGTCTTGAACCCCACCCCCCAAAAAAAAGAAAAGCTGGATAGAAATAAGCCAAGCTAAAGCCAGGCATTTATAAGTAATAAGTCTCTATGTATTTATTTGGAAGCTAGGTGGCAGGCCCTCAAAGAATAAAGAGTGGGAAAAAAGCAAAACAAACAAACAAACAAAAAAAACCCCACAACTACAACAGATCAAACAAGTCTAATTCCTGACATAAACTTTAATAAATTATATATCCCCTGACTACTTCAAGTAGTATTTCTGACTGTAAATTCTTACTGCTTTTGCTAGATATTATTTAGGAATGGTGAAGCCTACTAATAGATCATACCATGAATAAATAGGCATAGCTGAAAACTGCCTAGTATTTGAAATCTGGCCCAAAAGAACTTTTTCCCTGTGATCATCCGTGACCAGACCATCCCTACACATTTTAAAACAATCTTCTTTTCCTTTCAGGGATGAAAGCCTAAAGGCTATGACAAGCTCTAAAACTCCTAAATAAAATAGGTGCCATAGAAATGCAAGGAAAAGCCTCCCCAGAGACACTGTACCTCTGAATGCCGATCTACACTTCCAGTGTCCGATCCGGAGTGCTGCTCATTTACATCTTCCTCACCATCTGACCCTGAATCCCGCTCGTCCTGTACTGGAGTAGCACCACCATCATCTGCTTAAACAAAACAAAACAACCCCCCTAGGGTGTAAGATGGATGGTATCTGTAATAATGTTTATGATTATAGTTAAAATGAAATCTACAGTTGAGATGAGCATGCCTAACATAACAGTCAAAAGTTACTACTATCGAAGAAGCACAGCTAATAAAGCAAGTGTTCTTAAAAAAAAAATAGAAAATTCATGTAAATACCAACAACTATTATCATGTAATGTGGCACATACAGCAGTGAAAATTTCATAAATGTGAAGCCTAGAAAACCCACTAAATGCCAAGTCAAAATCATCTAAATAATAGTTTCAATTTTTTATTGTCTATCTTTCCAGGGCACTTAATCACCCGCTCATGCACTATATAACTTGTTATTTTGTATATTGTGGACTTTTTTGATTCATAACTGAATCTCTAGAGCCCAGAGTACTGTCTGTTACATGGTATACAGGAAGTGCTTGTTTATGAATGGAGAACACAAGGAACTTTAGCCCAGAAATAGTGAAAACTCATTTATAACTGTAATTTTATAGAATCAATAGTAAATATGAATTGTTACTTAATCTTAACCAACACCTTAAAAATACAAAATAAAATTATCCTTGAGAGGTATTTAGAATATTGAAAAACATGATTTTATTAGCAGTTTAAGAAATAATAAGTAAACAAAAATGAAAGTCAACTACAAGAAAACCAAAACAGTAGTATAAAAATTGATGACTTTCATACTAATGAGATATTCTATTCACCTAAAGAATAAAGTTTATAGCTGGGCATGGCACACGCCTTTAATCCCAGCACTCAGAAGGGGGAGGCAGAGGTAGGAGGATCTCTGTGAGTTTGAGGCCAGCCTGGTCTACACAGCAAGTTCCAGGACAGCCAAGGCTACACAGAGAAAACCTGTCTTGAAAAACAAAAAAAAAAAACAGTCATAAAATAATTAAAATAAAAAAACTGGCTAAACACATGCCTATAATCCTAGCATTGGGAAGATGGATGGAGGCTGATCACTGAGGATTTCAGGCCATCCTGGTCTACAGAGTTTCAGACCAGCCAGGGCTAGAGTGAGACTGTCTCAAAAAAAAAAAAAAAAAAAAAGAAAAAAAGAAAGAAACCAAAAACAACCAAACAGCTAAAAGAATGGTGTTAGGGAACTGTTATCTTTTTGCTACCTCTATTTTTCTTGTAACAAAGCCTACAAACCATATTACATGGAATTTTAATTTAATTTTTAAATGCCAATGAACTGAAAATATTTTTGAAAACATGAAAAGATATTTTAAGCAAAACAGCAGCGGAGGTTCAGGATAACAGTCTCTGCTGTCATCACTGTTCAGTCACTGGCAATTGAAGCCAAAACAGAAAACAGCTTAAGGCTTAACCATTTTTTTACAGTACCTTTGATAGAGCAAGTCCAAAAGAAATCAGCACACAGCTGTTTTACCCAGCCAAGCCCTTGCCTTGTTCATCTTTACATCTCATGTGCCTAGCATAGTGGAGCCGACTTCGTAGAGAAGGCTCGAATGTCACTCTAAAACTCGTCCCTTGTTTTAAAATACAAATGAAAACTTAAAAGATCCTGCGCTTTCTTGCCGAGAAGCCAAGCCAGTATTACCGGAGAAATTAAACTAGCCCTAACTGGCAGAGTCTCGGAAGGATCCCTGTTCCCCCATCCAACAGTTTCTTAGGATCCTGGGAAAACTCAACTGCTGACGATTCCCTTAAAAGGACAGACCTCTTCCCTGGTAGACAGAAGTGACAACTTGAACAAAAATCCTTCGTGAACCGGGAAGACAAATTCCCTTACGAGTTCCCTCTCGGAGGTGCCAGCTGCCGCCCCGCCTCGCCGGTACACCTGAGGAAGGGGACATTCCACCCTGGGGCCTCTCGTCTCTGCCCCTCCCCTCCCTCCTCGCTGGGCGCGAGGCCGAGC